GTGCCCTGCCCCAAACAGCCAAAAGGCCGAAGAAGATAAAGATCGCCGTTAACTGCCGAAGGTCGACTGATGCAAGAAGAAGAACAAGAAGAGGGGGGGACAAAGGGGAAGACGAAGAAGAAGAAAGTTTGTGGGGGAAGAAGAAGAAGAAGAAAAAGAAGAGAAGAGGAGCGGAGGAGGGGGAGGAGGACGGCCTTCTTTTTTTTTTCCGTTCGCCGTTCGCGACAACTGCCTAAGGTCGCCGAAGATGTGCCCTGCCCCAAACAACCAAAAGGCCGAAGAAGATAAGGATCGCCGTTAACTGCCGAAGGTCGACTGATGCAAGAAGAAGAAGAAGAAGAAGAAGAAGAAGAAGAGGGGAAGGCTCGACGTGCCTGACGGCCTCCCTTCTGTTTTTCTTACCTTCCGAGTCTCGCGCGACCTAACCAACGTCCACAGTACACAAGCAGAAGTAGAAGAAGAAGAAGAAGAAGAAGAAGAAGAAGAAGAAGAAGAAGAAGAAGAAGAATGGCTGCAAGAAGAAGAAGAAGAAGAATGGAAGCTCCTGCGAACGGAGACGGGCGAAGGGGGCAGCTCCTGCAAACGGCGACGAGCGACGACGACCGGCTCCAGCTGACGACGACGACGGGCGGCGGTCGAGGAAGACGAGCTCCTGCGAACGGCAACGATGAATGACGGGCGAAGGAGGCAGCTCCAGCGAACAGCAACGGGCGGCGGAACTTCAAAAGGCTGTGGGTCAAACGGGGCAGCTCCAGCGAACACCCACGGATGGGCTGCGGGCAAGATCGCCGCCAATCAAAACGGGGCGGGAAACTTGCGACGGCTCTGTGGTCGTCGATCAAAGCGGATCGACGTCTACAGACCCGCCGCAATTTTCAAACCCACTCCCGCAGGCCTATCGGGCCCGATGCCGCGGGTTTTCGGGCCGGTCGGACCCAGTAGGCCTGCGGGAGCCCACCACCGTTCGAAATGGGGTCTGAAAACCCCGAAATGCCCTGTGCGCTGGGGGGGCCCGGGGACCGACCGGGTGAACTGCCCGGCCAGGCCGCCCGGGACCCCACCCGGCCCCCCGCCGGTCCGCCAGGCGGCCTGGAACCCCACCCAGAAAAAAACTATGTTATGCAGAAAAATAAACTGAACAACTTTTGCCTCAGAGTCACATCGAAATTTCTTACCAAATTTAAAATATTTTTTTTAATTAAAAACTATAGATATATATATCCTCACAAACAGAACAGCCCGGTAAACCGTAGGCAGAGAGAGAGAAGAGGACAACAAACGAGGGGCTGTGACAAACTGTTTCGTCGGAGTTTCACCGATTTGGCCCGGTCGAGCAAGTGGACCCAGGCCACTCTGGTAGCCTAGGTAACATGACTTTTTTTCAGATTTTTTGGATTGTTTTTTTTCTTTTTTGTTTCACAGGGACCTTTCTTGGTCCTTTTGCCCGTTCGGGCCGCCCAGGCAACCAAGGTGACCCCAGGCGGCCCGGTTCGTAGCCCAGATTCACTACAGGTTGTCTTGATTTCTTTTTGTCTGTTTGCTCCACACTTGCAGCGCATGCCGTGCGCGGGGTCGCGGGATGTGCGGCGCAACACACACACAAAAAAAAAAAAAAGGGACAGGGTGGGGTGGCCAAACATGCCCCTCGCTTCATAAAATCAAACTGCAAGAGGGAAAAAAGTTGGGGCCACGTCATACCCCAAAACTGTGCGTGCATGTGTGTGCGTGTGGGTGTGCATGTCCTAATTGTGTCCAGTGACTCCAGTCTCTTTCCCGAAAGGCCCCTACAACGGATTAGCAAGGACCCATCGTGAAGCAGAGATAGGCGTTAGACTTCCAGTTTAGTATTAGTGGGCCGAGAATATATACTCTGGATTTGCTTGCAGCACTCACGTGTGGTAACCCTGCTGTTCAGTTGCGAGTTCATGGCCACAGGTGCCTCGGTGAAGCTTCCAAGTCATAGAAAGGTGTTTCTGCTTTTCCTCATAACCCTCTCCCTGCTCTGCGCACCTCTCCAAATCGGCCGCATTGCCACATGCAATTTTGAAACCCACCTTCCCAGATACCGTGTGGTTGATTACTTTGACTACCATTTGGTACCATGTCGTACCATCTGGTACCATTACGTAAATGCATACAATTTTGAAACCCAACTTCCCAGGTACCATGTGGTTGATTACTTTGACGACGACCACACGGATAACATGTGGGACCACATGACACCGTGTGGTACCATGTGGTACCATTGGGTGCATGCATACAATTTTGAAACCCAACTTCCCAGGTACAATATGGTTGATTACTTCGACGACCACTGATTACTTTGACGACGCCATGGTAGCATGTCGTACCATTGCGCAAATGCATACAATTTTGAGACCCGACTTCCCAGGTACCGTGTGGTTGAGCACTGTGACAAGCACATGGTTCCCATGTGGTACCATACAATTTTGAACCCAACTTCCCAGGTACCGTGTGGCTGATTACTTTGACGACCACATGGTACCATGTGGACCAAGGACACATCTACATGGTTCAGTACTACAATGTCTGAAGACAAAATCTAGGACTGCCAACCTTTGGAAAATAAAAGAAAAGAAACAAACACCACCCTTTTGTTTGGTACGAGATAGCAAAACACTCGTATGCAGATCAATTAGCTAGCAACAAGTGAATAAATTAAGGGCCTCGCCAGATGCACACAAGACGAAATATGGCGGGGTCTTTGCCCATGTGCTAGCGAAAGATTTATTCTCATTTTGCACATTTGGTGAGTAGTGGAGCGAAGAACTAAGTATTTACATAGATGCCTCTGGTCAATTAGCGAGCCTCATGCAAAGGGGAAGTTGGACTTGAGGGAGGAATTGGGCCGGGGGGAAGCAGAACAGAAAGAGAAGAGGAGGAGGCAGGTCAGGGACGGAGAAAGAGGTGGGGGGGGGGGGGGGGGGGGGGGGGGGGGGGGGGGAGGGGGGGAGGAGGGGAGGGGAGAGGTTGAGGAGGTGAGGATAAGCAGGTCTCCACATCGTACCCTCAAGCATGTGAAGAACGGGTGTACAAAGGGAAATGATGACATCTCAACCTCTTTTGTTTAAGAACGCCGCATTATGGATGTCGACCTGGAGTCAATGCTCCCAGGGGCAGGATTCTTTCTTGGCTGCATTCGTTGAGGCCACTCCTCCAGGAAACTGCGACGCTGCAACGCTGGAGTGGACAGGGCGATTTTTGTCGAACGAAAGAAGCGTAGGATATGCATCTCTGCGTCAGTGACCTTTTTTCCACCTCTCTCTCTCTCTCTCTCTCTCTCTCTCTCTCTCTCTCTCTCTCTCTCTCTCTCTCTCTCTCCCTCCCTCTCTCTCCCTCTGTGTGTGTGTGTGTGCACGTGCAGACGGACAGGTGATCATAGTACATTCATTTTGTTCCCAGCAATTCCTCCTCCGCAGCTCCTCTCTCTCTCTCCCTCTGTGTGTGTGTGTGTGTGTGCGCGTGTGTGCGCATGTGTGTGTGCACGTGCAGACGGACAGGTGATCATAGTACATTCATTTTGTTCCCAGCAATTCCTCCTCCGCAGCTCCTCTCTCTCTCTCTCTCTCTCTCTCTCTCTCTGTGACTACACATCTTTTGCTGCCATCTACAAGAACTGGTGTGGTTTGACCTGTACGAAACAGGTATAGGCAATTGATTTTTTTTCCCTTAAATATTTTCTACAAGGGGTAAAATCCAAAGCAATTACCCACAGTCACTCTTTTCAAACGCATTCATTCAGCTGTTGTGTAAGGACTCGGATCCACACCATGGATGCATCAGCCCATACCAGTGCAATACTCAGAAAATGTTTCTGTAGTTTTTCACTTCTTGGTACCTTTTTTATCACTTTTCATCTGAGGACCGACAGCTGCTACCCTGATCTGACAGCCCAACTTGACCCACTCAGAAGCAGCAGCACCCCTGGATGTTCTTGCCCTACAAACATGTCCTATGCGTAAAAGTCCACTCGCTATAAATATCTCAAATGTCGCGACAAAAATGTCCGCGAAACGAAGTAGACACTGCGAGAGGAAGAGGAAGACAAGCTGGGTGATCTGTCAAGTGAATATAATGATTGCGACAGGGGGAGCTCTGACAAAAGGTAGGTGTGATTCGTTTGCACGAAGAAAGAACGTGACACGATGAACAAAACGATTGACATCAGCAATTGAGAGGACAGCAGCAAGCCAGGGCCTTGCCAGCAGCAACCTGGTTCAAAGTGGAATCAGCTTCCGGGCCGACAGCGGTAATCCTTATCAGGCCGCCACAAATAACAAGAATAACAGACGCTGTGCATCCAAAGACGCACAGCCGGCTTTATGTACATGTTGTAGCAATGCAATGAATTGCAGTGCTATAACAGATCGGGTACATAACATACAATTCTACAGGACATTATGATAACAGGAAACAATAACAGCCACTGCTAGGCTCCCCGCTAGGCAAACATATTCCCAGGTGCTTCTTCCTTTGGCTCCGATAAACGATCAGGAATGAAGAAAAAGACAGACATACAAGAATGACAAGGAGGAGGAGGAGGAGGCGGAAGAGGAGAAAGGAGGAAAGTTGCTCCACACATGATGGAGCATAATGACCCAAAAAGAAGAAAAAAAACATTCCGCAAAGAATCACCAGAGAGCTAGAAAGAGAAGATCTTCCGGTTTGTCAAACCTGCAGTTCACCGGACGGTTTCTTTGCGCCCCACAGAAGCCTCTTCTTCTCCTGCGCAGACATGGATCCCGGCACTCCCAGATTTCTGTTGACTGCAACACAAGGCACAGTCCAAGACAACGACAACTGTCAGATCACACGTTATTTCTCACGCCCGACTTCAGCATGCATTTCCCTCTAACCAACATTTAACTCGAGTTTCGGTTCGTTTATTACAACTTCACCTAACAAAGTGATCTCTGGTTCACTACAAAGTTGATTTAGACTGGATTTGTGTTAGACTCGATTGGATTCGACTTTAACCTGAGTTAATGTGAATTTCATTTGGATTTTGTTTGGACCTGATTTGGATTTACAAAGATTTCATTTGGGATATCAGTAGGGATTTTCGTTTGGAGATGAGATTTTGATTCCAGGTGCTATTCTGTTTGGATTTTCTTTTATTTATCAGATATATTAAACCACTAGTACCTTTGACGGTTGGGAAAATAGGGAAAACTGGCCAGTTTTCCCAAACTCCTAAAAGGTCGGGGGCTGGGCCCGACGACAGCCGCCGTTGATAAATCTCATCAGCAGCCGTCATTTCGTTTTGGCCCTTCCAAACGATCGGAGGCCCACCCAAGGCTCCCTATTTTCCCAACCGTCAAACGTCAACGCTACTAGTGGTTTAAACTAATCAGAACAGGTACTACTAATTGGGATCTGATTCCACGATTTGAGATCGGATTTCACCTATATCAGGGGATATTTTGGATGTGATTTGATTTTTTTTTCGTTCGGTTCAATCTGGATTAACATTTGGATCTGGATTCCGAATGTCTTGGATCTGACTTTGATTTGATGTCACTCCACTTTCACTCCTGTCGCTTCGGTTTGATTTAACTCAGCACGACGTGATAGAAAAGATGCTCACAGCAATACCTTTCCCAGCCTTTTGGCTAAAAATAGATCAAGTGAAATGTATCTGTTCTGCTCAGTTTAATATCTGATCCGTGGTCCATCGGGCCACACTAAAAAAAAAAGGAAAAAAAAAAAAAAAAAAAAAAAAAATGCTCACAGTACGCAGTCACCATAACTACCCGCTTCAGACCTCCTCCATGCACGCACGGATTCAAACCCGTCTTCCTCAGTCGCAAGAGGCACGTCTCTTAAACCTTCAGTACTTCACCCACACACCAGCCACGGCGAAAAATAGAGCCGTGACGTTTCCACTTGAACGAATTTGGACCAGAGCCTCCAGGCCCGTTCAGCCCAGTGTGTTGCAGCTCGTTTACGGCCGTGACTTTCAGAAATTCTGGTGCTTTCGCCACTGCAGCTGACCGCGGTGAAAATAGAGCTGGAATGTTTCCACTTGAAAGAATTTGGACCGGAGCCACCAGGCGATGTTTCCACTTGAATGAATTTGGACTGGCGCCACCAGGCCCGTTCAGCCCAGCGCGTCATGGCTCCTTCACAGCCACGACCTTCAGACCTATTGCTGGTCTAACCAGTACAGCCATGGCACTTCACACAAAAGCGGCACTTTACACAATAGCGGAGCCAAGTCAGTACCAGTCAGAAGTATTTCCAGCCCTGGACCTCCTCCGTGCATGCACGGACTTGAACCAGCGCGCTCAGGCTCAAGAGCCGAGTTTCATAACCACTACAGCTATGGCACGGTGTACAAAAGGGGAACCATCCCGGCAGCGATATCCACTCCACCCATGCATGGCTGTAGTGTCCTTACCTTAACTCCACACACACACACAGCACCACCGAGGCGCGTGTCTCACAACCCTGCATGGCTGCAGTGTCCTTAGACTCCTACCTAACTCCACGCAGCACACAACACCCCCCAGGCATGAGTCGCACATCCCTGCACGGCTGTAGTGTCCTTACCTAACTCCACACACACACACACACAACACCACCCAGGCACGAGTCGCACATCCCTGCACGGCTGTAGTGTCCTTACCTAACTTTACACACACACACACACACAACACCACCCAGGCATGTCTCGCACACTGGCTCCATTGAGCACTGACAACCAAGGGCCCCATCCATTTTCCTCTCTCTCTCTCTCTCTCTCTCTCTCTCTCTCTCTCTCTCTCTCTCTCTCTCTCCCTCTCTACCTTCTCACACACTTCCATTGACAAGCGCATGTGAAAGTGCATACGCATTAAGACGTACCTGATTGCCATGAAAATGAATTTCGCCTAACAACCTCACCACAATCATTTTCCCGCTGCAATGGTTGTGAAAGGAGGAGGAGGCGAGAAGGAAGGTGTGTGAGAAGGTAGAGAGAGAGTGAGAGAGGAGAAAGGGAAAGGGAGAGAGAGGAAGCAAAAAACAACCCTACCCCTCGCTTGCATCTTCGACTCCTTCCACTCCATCACACAAAATGCGACCCTGTTGCTACAGTCCCAGTTCTTTCCGGCTTACCTAACTCACATCCAGATCTTAGCAGCTTCTCAACAGATCAAGAGTTCAAATCCTGTTGGGCCCAATCGTCGAGAGGTACAGAACATGTAACTGCTGACAACAGATCAAGAGTTCAAATCCTGTTGGGCACAGAAACTTGTCAAGCCAATAGCTGTGTGTGTGTGTGCAGCATTGCATTGAAAACGTGCATAATTAGATATACATATTGAAATCGCATAGGGTGGTGGGTAGCCGTCCAGCGACTGGGTCACCGTCGGGCAACTCTCGAGCTGCACTTACCTAACTCAGCTGCCTTCCTTGCAGCTAGTAGCTGGGCAGAATGCTGTTGCTCCTCCGTCATTCCGCATCCCTGACCTGAATGTGCCAGCGCAATCGCCGCATTCACAGCTTCCTGCAGAGTCTTAACGCCGGCAGACGAGGCGGCGTTTCCATGATTCATTGGTGCAGACTGTTGAGCCTCGGGACCCCATCTCGAGCTCTTTCCAGGTCGGTCTTCTGTACCCATTACCTTTTGTCTGTCGATTCCACCCGATCTGGACCCCATGCCCTTTTCCGCCCACGTGTCCCCTGGCCCCCTATCCCGAGGCGCAACAGCACCCATGTTGTTCCCACGTGCAGAGGAGAAAGATCTCCCAGGATGATTGTCCTCCTTGCCATCCATGCCATAGCCCCTCCCGACTGGCATTGCATCAACCGTCTTTGTCCGATTAGCCCAAGAATCCCTCTCTCCCATTTCTCCCCCTCTCCTTCCATCTCTCCTCTGCTCTCCACTTGCTCTGTTGTCCAACTCCTGCTCTCTTTTGAACGAAACATTGCTCATCCTTCCAACCTCTCCGTTCTGCGTCCTCGTACCACCCTCCTTCTCACGCCACGAGGAAAAAGGTGCCGCTTTTGACATATACCCCCCTTGATCTTCACCCCTATTAGACTCCCAGCCTCGAGAACTCCCCCCTCCCCCACCATTACCGCTGCCAGCACCACTTCCAATATCACCACTGCTTTTCTCCATCCTTTCCCACTTCCTTCCTGTGTCCTGATCCCTCTCCCCCCCTCTGCCTCTGTCCCTGTGATCAAACCACCTACTTCTCTCAAGAGAGCCCTCCGTTTGCCCATCCCGCCGATTGCCATTCCTGTCGCCACCTTCTCCAGCGTTCCATTCACCTCCTCTTCTCTTGTTCCGACCATGCTGGTCATGCTCTTCAGCTGCACTCCCTTCAAAAACGTGGTCTCTTTTCCTGCCACCAAACCCTCCACCATACAGCCTCTCGCGATCGTGAGGAGGGTCCCTTCCCCGATATCCCTCTCTCCCCCTATCACCTCCTCCTCTTCCTCCTCCCCCCCAGCCCCTGCCACCCCGACTACCCTGAAACTCGAACCCCCTGTTCCTTTGTCGATAAAAGTCGCGATCGCCGTCCCGACCACCTCCCCATCCCGACTCCCTCTCCCTGTCCTTGTGACGATCGTCCCGCTCACCGTCGCCGTCCCGACCACCTCCCCATCCCGACTCCCTCTCCCTGTCCTTGTGACGATCGTCCCGCTCACCGTCCCGACCACCTCCCCATCCCGACTCCCTCTCCCTGTCCTTGTGCCGCTCCTCCCGCTCACCCTCCCGGCCCCCCCCTCCCCATCCCGTCTCCCTCTCCCTGTCT